TCTCGCGGGCGCCGTCGCGTCGCTCGGCGCGCGGGCCGCGGCCGGCGGCGCGCCGCGGCACGTCGACGTCGCCGCCGCGGCCCTCGTGGACATCTGCCGAGCGGGCGCGGGCGGCGACGTCTCGCGGGAAGCGCTCGGCGCGCTGCTGCGGTCCTTTGGCCCGCGGTCGTCGCTCGCGGTCGCGGCGGCCGTCGCCGAGGCCTGGGCCGTCGTCGCGGACGCCGACGCGGCGCCGGGCTTCCTCGTCGCCTGCTGCGGCCGCCGGAGCTTCCGCCACGTCGCCTACGACGACGACGCCGCCGGCGACGACGACGACGCCGTGGAGCGGGACGTCCTCGGCGACGCGTTGCGGGTCGCGGCGGTCGCGGCGCGCGACCGCGACGGCGCGCTGCTGGCGGTGCTCGCGACGCCGGAGCCCCTCGCCGCGCTCCACGTCTACCGCGCTGTCGCGCGGAGCGTCGGCCTCTCGGCGCCGGTCTTCGACGGCCTGCTCCGGGTCTTCGCGCGCGTCGCGGCGCTGCCCGACGGGCCGGACGCGCGGCCCTACGCGGTGTCGTGCTGCCTGGCCATGTCCGCCGCGCCCGACGCGCGCTTCGGCGACGCCGCGGCCCATTTCCTCGCGCGGAGCGACGCCGTCGTCGCGCGCTTCGGGGCCATCGCGCTCATGCACGCGACGGAGACCGCGGACGCGCGGCTCCCGAGCGACGGCGCGCTGCGGCTCTGCCGCGCCGTCGCGGCGGCGCCGCGGGCGAGCGAGTTCCGGCGGCCGGGCCAGGAGAGCGTGCGGACGCTCGCGACGCGCGCGCTCGCGAACGCGGCGCGGAAGGCGGGACCCGACGCGGTCGCGGCGCTCCTCGGCGCCGCGCTCGCGGCCGTCGACGGCGCCGCGAACGCCGAAGGGCTGGCCGTCGCCCTGTTGAACGTCGCGGTCGTCGCCGCGGCGTCGCCGCGGGGCGCCGCGGACGCCGCGGCGCCGCGCGCCGCGGACGCGCTCGTCGCGCTCGCGCGCGCGCCCGAGGAGGAGGCGGAGGACGACGACGACGACGACGACTCGGACGCCGACGACGACGCGGTCCCGGCGAGCGCGACGGCGCGCGCGGCGCGCGCCGCGGCGCACGTCTTCGCGGCGGTGCTGAGCCCGGGCTGGACGGACGCGGCGCCGAAGCGGCAGCGCCGGTGCTGCGACGCCGCCGGGGGCGCGAGCGACGCCGTGCTCGAGGCCGCGACGGCCGCGGGCCTCGAGGCCGTATCGCGCGGGCTCCGGCGGCCGGCGGCGGCCGCGGGCTGCTTCCTCCTCGAGCTCGCGGCCGCCGCGGCGCCGCCGGCGCGCGCGCCGGCGGTGGCCGCCGCGGCGCTCGCGGGCCTCGACGCGCTCGCGGCCGGCCACGCGGCCGAGGCGCGAACCGCGTCGCGCGGCGGCGCGCTCGGCGCCGCGCTGTCGCTGGCGACGCGGCTCCTGCGGCGCGGCGCGGGCCGCCGCGGTCCCGCTCCGGCTGC